ATTGTTTTTTTTTTTTTAATTACGTGCTAATATTTTAATATATTTATTTATTGTTATACGAAACTTAGGTATAAAGTTTTTTTTTTAATACAATACAAATATACATGCACATACGCGACGCGTGCGTGCGCAACACAACACACAATATACACATATATACATATACAAAGTATAAAATTGAGTACTCAATGACTGGCTGGTCTTTTCAGTCATATGAAAATATTCCATACATTTTATATAAATATGTCAATATAATATTCATAATAATGAAACAAATTAAAGAGATGCTATAAATTTGTAGACTTGGTACACAGTTTCGAGTTAATCAAAGGAAGCCTTTTAAATAAATTCTACCCAAGTGCCGTGAAAAGACCGAAGTCTATTTATGATAGTAAATATGCACTACATTAATATACATTGTCCAATTTTCAAGCTTATCTTATTTATCATTATGTTATAATCAAAATACTCTATAAAAATGTTTCATATATGACAGATATTTTTTTCTTGCGTTTCATGTATATCCAGATAATAATAAATGATTAAAAGTTATCTAATATAAATAGAGGGATGTTTTCTAAGTAATTTTACATCTCTTAAGCATTTATGTTAGATAGTATTCTGAATAGTATTGAAATCTCTTTTTTGTGAGAATTTATCAATGTAAGCGCGATATATGTAAAAGTATAAGAGAATAATGTCTTCCGTTATCATCGCGATACAGTCTTATAAATTTTTTGCAGAACAAGAAAAATACATAATATCTATATAATCTTGCTTTAAACCGATAATTTATTAAGGATTACATTGACCTGTGTGTTATTATTGTAACATAATATGGAAATGACTTTTTTTGTTGATAATTTTAGAAATAATCTGTGAACATACAATGTGTAGAATGCAATATTTATGATCATACATTATTAGAACGTTGATTATTGTTGATGTTTGTTATATTGATATTTATGTTATTTATTAATAGCTTTTAGTTTAAATTTAGAAAAAATTTTATATTGATTGTAAGCAAAGTGACTGTATCGGATGTAATTGGTGCTATGCTCGAATAAGTGAGAACATCGCTACATTTTTCGGATCGTGTT